CTTTGAAAAAACATTTGATCATTTTGTGTGAAATAATTTGAAGAGGAGGAAGGAAAGGCAATTTTAAAAAAAAGAATTAAGATATATATATATATATATATATATATAGATAGATAGATAGATAGATAGATAGATAGATTTCCCATGAGGAGTATGATCGGTATGTATGACAAATGTGCATCAATAAAAAAATGAATAGCAATGGCACTTACCTCTCAAAATGGCTACTAGTATTACACAAAGAGTGTGTGAAAACAAGCACACAATATAGTCTTGAGAAAAAAAATGGAGTATCCCTTATGTTGATGGTAAGCTCCTAATTTAACACATTCCTGCTGGCTCGAACCACCTGTGGCACACAAACTCTCCACTGGGGAGCATTTTATTAGTAAAAAGACCGATGAAAGCGGTTAGCCTGTCTGTACCACTGGTGGTTCAAGTCACCTGGCAGGCAGACATGTGAATTACAGCCCTACTGGGTTTTTTCCGTATTTTTAGTACAGGGTCTACAGGGGCTCACTACACAGATTGAACTCATTGTGATACTTCTGAGCCTCCCAAGTGCTGAAGTTACAGGCCTGCACCACCATGCCCAGTCTCAGTTGCTGGCTCAGCATGCCCCAGGGGGTGGGGATTGAACCCTGGCCACTGTGCCTGCCTAAGCAAGCACGTTAGTTCACTGAGCTATCTGGCCGGTCCTTATAGTCCTATTGCAAGTGTGTTAAAGCTGCTCTTTCCAGCTTTCACCACCCCAGGTCCAGGTGGTGTCACTGGATAATGCTACCAAACATGTCATACTGACTTTACACAATTGTTCCTAGACAATAGTAGAGGAGAGAACTCTTCCCAATTATTTTTATGATGTCCAAATTAATTTGATACTCAAACCAGAAAATGCTCTACTAAAGATGGAAACTACAGGGCCGGCCAGATAGCTCAGCAGATTAAAGTGCCTGCTTAGGCAGACACAGGGACCTGGGTTTGATCCCCGGTATGCTGACAGCCCCATCCCTGGGATGTGTTGAGACAGTGACTGAGATTGGGCATGGTGGCATGCACCTGTAATCCCAGCACTTGGCAGGCTGAAAACAGGAGAATCACTACGAGTCTGATCTGTGTAACAGAAGTAAAAGTCCTTAAAACAGCTGAGACCAGCCCAAAAAACTTAGTGAGACTATTGCAAAATTAAAAGGGGGAGGAGGCTGGAGAGCTCAGCACAAAGGCCTTGGGTTCAGTTCCTAGGACCACAGCAAGGACCAAACCAGTCTGTAGCTAACATACACAGCTGGCAAAACAAGAAATGCTTTCCTGTGAGAATCAGAAACAAAGCTAAGGCCAGCCATGGTGGTGTATGCATCTAATTCCAGCACTAAGAGGCTGAGGCAGGAGGATCACTGTGAGTTCCAGGCCAGCCTGAGCTGCATAGCAAGACAGTCTCAAAACAAATTTTTAACATTTTATTTTATTTTTTAACTTTTATTTTTGGTTTTCTGTGTTTAGTACAGGGTCTACAGGGGCTCACTATGTAGATCAGACTCATAGTGATCCTCCCGTTTTCAGCCTCCCACGTGCTGGGATTACAGGTTGGTGTCACCACGCCCAGTCTTAACTGTGTCTCAGTGGGCCGCAGGGGCCAGGCTGGCATGGCACGCTGGGGATCAAATTCCCAGTCCCTGTATCTGCCTAAGTAGCACTTTCGTCCTCTGAGCCAGCCCAGTAGATATTTTTTTAAAAAAGATGGTATCATTGTACATTGAGAAATATACAATTTGAAACATGGTCTCTGCAGTTCAGTCTGACCAGGAACTCAGTTATTCTCTTGCCTCAGCCTCCCAAGTGCTGGGATTACAGAAAACATAAATCACAATGCAAATGCACACATGTCCAGTAAAAAGTAAAACCTAACATATCTAGTAGCACTGAGGATGGGGAACAAGCAGAGTACTGACGTATCAAGGTGGCATAACACCACTGTAAAGCCGCTTGGCAGTTTGTTTCCCCCAGAACTGGCCAGTCATTTTAACTAGGGGCATTCTACCACTGGGCTATTTCCTAGCCCTTTTAGAAGTTTGAGAAAGGGTCTTATCAAGTTGTCCAGCCTGGTCTTGAATTATGTTTTTTAAAAATAAACATATTGTCTATTCCAGAAATTGTACTTGTTCCTGAGAAATGGAAACATGTATTGTACAAACACATTCATGGTAGCTTTACTCATAAATTGGAAACTACAAAGTTCCACTCTGCAACAGTTAAATAGTAAAAATGGTGGTGATATATTCGTATCACAGAATTATGAGCTCTAGTATGTGTAGCAACAAGAATATTCAAAAATCACTGCTCTGAAAGGAGCCTGAAATGACACCCAATATAGATCCACAAACAGGCTGTAATGTAAGAGCTCACCTATGGTGACGGACCTCCCAGAGGTTGGCTGGTGGGAGGATCTGACTGGTGTTCTCTCTGCAAGGATGCATATATTCAAAATGTCACCCTGCTATTTATTCTGGTTCTTACTGCATGGACATTTATCTCAGCTATAGACAAAGAAAGCCAGGGCAGTGGCTGCCCTTGGCAGCAGCTGCGGTGGTGGGAGGTGTGGATGTGTGGGATGCCGGGAGAGCCACTATTCTGGTGGTGGTTCTGTTCTGAGCCTGGCTGCCAACTGGAGGGCATTCTTATGTGAAGAACTCAGTAAGCTGTGCTTACATGCCTTTTTATGTGCATAAATTACTCTTTAATGAAGACAATGTACAATTAAAAAGCACTTGGAAGGAAGAATTTGAGCTGGGCGTGGGGGTAGCACACGCCTGTAATCTCAGCACTTGGGAGGCTGAGGCAGAAGAACTACTTTTGAGCTCCTGGTCAGGCTGAACTGCAGAGTGAGACCAACGTCTCAAAACACCAGAGGACTGAGGCTGGGACTGCGCTCAGTGACACTTGCCCATGTGCCTCCCTGACGGGCAAGCTTCCCTCATCACACGTGTGCCTCCTGAGGCAGGTGTCACTCAGACAGCTGGCAGGCTCTACTGTGACATGGGATAATTTGAAGGCTTTCTTTTGTATGAACTTTCCTCTGGGTCTTTACGTGTTAATACCTTTAAAAATTTTTTTTATTTTCATTTTTGTATTTGGTATAGGGTCTCACTGTGCAGACTGGACTTGAGGTGGTCCTCCTGCTTTCAGCCTCCCTAGCACTGCAGTTATAGGATTACAGGCGTGCACCACCATGCTAGACTCTGTCCCACTGGCTCATCATGCCCCGGGGGCAGGGACTTTAACACCTTTATAACAGAAGTGACCTCATAGCCCTGCCAAACCCCTTGGTCCCTAAGGCACCAAGGAGGAGCCCCTGCTGTGCTGCCACTTCTGTGCTCTTCTGGGGGCTAATGCGCCACCCTGAACTGCCTGGTCCCATGCCAATGCAATGGCTATCTGCTATCATGACCCAAATGTCTTTTGCTTGGTGCACAGGAAAGAAAGTACTCAGTTCCAAGTCTGTTCAAGAGAAAAAGCAGTGGTTCCCAAACAGGTCACTAGATAAAGGGAGCTGTTGATGGTGCTGAGCCCCCTGCCCTGCAGCAGATGAGAGAACTGGGGTGATTCTATTCAATAGTGATACCTGGGCATCCTGAGAGGGGTGCTCCTGCTTTGGTGAAGTGCTACCACATTCCATGTCTGTCATGAGCACAGCTCTCACCTTCATGCTGGGCTTGTTCTACTCAACCATCTCCACCTTTGTGATCACCATCATGTGTGTGTGTGTGTGTGTTGGTAAGCACAAAACTGGACCTCATAAAAGCTGGGCAAGCCTTCCACCACTGAGCTACAGAGAGCACCTAATCATCTTAAAGATATGGAAAGCAATTCTTGGACTTGAGTGACCCAAGAATGCCATAGAATAAGCAGAAACTTGGAAGGATGTCTATTCTTAATGCTTTCTTCAGATGAATGAAATATCATACATCCACAGATAGAACTGATTGTGCACATATGTATTTCTGCCAGGCATAGTGGTGCATGCCTGCAATTCCAGTTCTCAGGAGGCCAAGGCAGCTGGATAGCTGAGTCTGAGGCCATCTTGGGCTACAGAGTGAGTTCAAGGGCAGCCTGCACTACATGGCAAGACCCTGTTGCAAAAAAGCAAAACAACACATGCTTCCCTGAACACATTCTTGTTCACTCTCCCTAGGATTCTGTGGGCCTTCTCCCCGCCAGTCTCCATGCTGTTTTCACTCCTGGCTCTACAAATCACAGATTCTAGCCACGCTGGTAATTCAATTTTTAATAATCTTTTGTTCATGCATTTGATAGAGTCTCAATACACAGTTTAGACTCCTGTCTCAGCCTCCCCAGTGCTGGGATTACAGGTTACCGCACCCTGGTGACATGGCATAGGTACTAGTGATCAAACCCAGGTCCTTTGCGCTTGCCTTAGACAGCTGAGCTATCTTTCCAACCAAAGCTGGTAATTCCTGTAACAAGTGACCTGTGTGCAAACAGCTTCCTAGAGTCTGGGTGGACAGAGCCAGGCACTTTGAGCTCTGAATTTCATGAGTAAAGACAGAATGGGAGGGCCAGTCAAATAGCTCAGTGGGTTAAAGCGCCTGCAAGCAGGTTTGAACCCCAGGCCTGCAGTGCTGGCCCTGCCTCCGGGGCGCACTGAGATGGCAACTGAGACTGGGCGTGGTGGCATGTGCCTCTAATCCCAGCTCTTGGGAGGCTGTAAACAGGTGGATTACTATGAGTCCGATCTAGTAGTGAGACCCTGAACACCCTGAAGACCCTTCCCTAAAATACAAAAAAATAAAAAATGAACGGAAAAGTGACTTACACTGGTCCATCATTGGGGAGTGAGCCCTCTGCACGTGCAGAAGACAAAGGAAAAGAAGCAAATGATTACTGGGAGATTGTTTTGCTTTATGTTATTTTACCTGACAAGTCTCCTGAAAACTTTTAAGTGATTTGAAGGCCAAGAACCAAAGAAAAAATATTACAACAAGAACTTTACTGATAACACCTTTTTAATAGGTCAAAGTAACTGTACAGTTCATTATATTCTTCCTGAGAATAATTTATATCCCCCAACAAACTAAAGGGAGGGTGTATTTTTCAAAAATTATCTAACAGAATAGATGGACATCTACAGAGAACCAAATCCCTCTGTTCCTCTTAATTCTCTCCTGGGAAGACAGACACAATGAAGGGTTAGTTAGCTCCAGTGGCTGTAAAATAGTCAACATGGCTTTAATCTTTATAAATTATATAAAAATGGAAAACAGGGATGGTTCTGCTCAATGCAGATTGGAGGTGATCTGGTACAAAGCATTTCTGCTTCCAAGAGAAATTACATTGCTACAAAAAACTGGCACATTATTCTGGTGAAAAAGACAAGAGTTTTAGTTGTGTCCTACTGCTAGTTCCCAACCCAATACTTCCATATCCATAAGAAAGTAAAAGTCAGGAAAGACAGAAAAGGTGGTAGTTTTTTTTTTCTGAAACAACTTGAGTCTTCAAAATATAGCTTTTATATTCTTTCTTTGTAAATGGGATTAGCATATTGCAATGGAGGGGTGTTCTAACAAACAAAAGCCCCAGTCTGGATAACTCCAAGGCAGGAAAAGAACTCTCTGCCTCACGAGTTGCGGGGTTCTTCACACATGCTCTCTTCTTCCAATAGCAGTGAAGGCAGGTCAGGAATGAGCAGGGCCCCTGGCCATTCCCACTGGAGCACACCCCAGTGCTAACACCAACTCCTTCATGAGAAGCTCCTTTAAAAAAGTTTTTTTTTCTTTCCATTTTGAGACACGGTCTCTGAGAAGACCAAACTTCAACTTTCAATCCTTCTACCCCAGCTTCTCAATAGCTGGGATTATGGATGGGCACCACCATGCCTGGTCTTTTCAAAAAAGCTTAATTTAATGGACACTTTTCATTCTCAGAAAAATGTCATTTTGGATCCTGGACTTTTCTGATCATCATGATTTTAAATGAACAAAAATGAACTCAAATCAAAACATGGTTAAACTTGTCTGTGCGAGATTTTCAACCAGCTGTCATTCAGTTGGAGCTGTAAGCGCTGGCGGCCGAGGACACGGGTTAATTCCTCACTGCTGGTGGAAGGCTAGAGAACACTTTCCAAGGGGTAGAAAGACGCACTCCTGGGCGGCTCAGTGTGGTCTCGTCTGCCCAAGCATTTTCAGTCTTGCTTGGTCAATGACATCAAGCAGGTTCTTGGCGTCCACAGCCAGGGCGTGAGCTGCTGTCAGCATCTGCTTCTTGTACTCCTGCTGCAGGCTGGTCATCACGTACTGCTGGGCCAGCTTCATCTTGCTGATGAGCTCCCCCAGGTCGGAGTTGAGCAGCTTCTGCGCCATCTCAACCTGCAAGAGCAACAGACAGGTCTGCAGCTGCCTCCCTGGGATCTTCATGGGCTTTTCTTCTGGTGCCTCCCAAAGAAGAAACCCACTTTCTTACCCTCAAATAATGGTCTCTAGACACAACAAGAGTATAAGCTCCATCTCTCCTCAGAAAGTGAGCCAGTGATGTGCCCGTTCACTTGTGTGTGTGCATGTGTGCCCAGTGGTCCCTGCTCACTGTTTCCTGCCCTCACCGTCACCATCATGACTGATCCTCTGTTCTGCGCTTCTGTCTCTACTGTGCACTCTACGCCCGGCAGGGCTGTTCTCCATTTCCTACTAGCATCATGGAACCCGACAGATCACCTGTGCCAGACACTCTGACATTAGTATGCACATCTGAGATTCACAGTGACCTCCTCGATGTTATACCTGGCCCACATCCAGCCCAGTACAAAAACTGGGTCTAGACTCATAGACTCGTGCTTTTCTCCATTTTGAGACCTTCTGTAGCTGTACTAGAGGTGGTCTGGGATGTGATGAGACACCCTTGCCCTGTCTTGACATGAGCTGCCCTATCAGAATGCATTGCTTGGCAGTCTCACAAACCTTCCTACCTTTTATTTAACCAACAGTAACTTAGCTACTTGCCTTTATGATTCCCAGGTATGTTGAATTAGACATGCAGGGTCCAGGTGGCAGAAGCATGCAGAGGAACACCTGTCACGTACTGGGACACAGCACTGCAAAAAGATGCACTCAGAGAAGAGGGCAACTACACCTGTCTGGGAAAATCTTCACATAAGTTTGAATTTGGCCTAGATCACACAAAGTTACCTGGCTTTGCCCTTAAAGGGTCTTATAAGCCATGTCAAGTTCTCCTTTATCTTACTGGACTTACAGTTTTTTTTTTTTTTTTAATTTAGTACAGGATCTACAGGGTTTCACTATGTAGATCAGACTGGACTTGCAGTGATTCTCCTGTTTTCAGCCTTCCAAAGGCTGGGATTATAGGCCTGCGTTACCACGCCCGGTCTCAGTGGGCATCTCAGTGCACCCAGGGGGCAAGGCTGGGGATCAAACTCCAGTCCCTGCGTCTGCCTAAGCAGGTGCTTTAGTCCGCTGAGCTATCTGGCCAGCCCTATCTTTATGGTCTTAAGAGAGGGAGAGCATAATATATTTTTAAGAAAGGGGGATGATATATTCTGGAAGTTGTTCTAGCAAAAAGCCCCTGGGGGCAGAATGGATATTGAATGGAAGGGTGTGGGGATGGGAGGCTGCTATGGTAGTTTATAAAAGAGACTACTGTGCAGCGAGGCTGAGAGCCCCCCTGAGCCTGTTTGTATTGAATGCTGTCTGTATTGGTGTATGGGTAGGGTGAGGGACTGATGGGGACAGAGGTGGTGAGTGCATGGTGATGCCACTGACTAGGGAAGAAAATTAGTAAAAGTAGACTGTTCCTGCCAACATCCAACAGACAGATGACAATCAGAGCTCAGGGAGCAACAGTAGTACACATGGATGTAGGAGGCATCAAATGTTTGGATACATGAAAGTGGGGAATTGCTGAGGTGAATCATTAAGAAAGTAAGGAGAGGTTGCCATCATGAATGACACAGTAACTATCCGAACCTGGAAATTCATGACCAACCGGCTTCTTCAAAGGAAACAAATGGTCATTGATGTCCTTCACCCTGGGAAAGCAACAGTACCTAAGACAGAAATTTGGGAAAAACTCGCCAAGATGTACAAGACCACACCAGATGTCATTTTTTGTGTTTGGATTCAGAACCCATTTTGGTGGTGGCAAGACGACTGGCTTTGGCATGATTTATGACTCCCTGGATTATGCGAAGAAAAATGAGCCCAAACACAGACTTGCAAGACACAGCCTGTATGAGAAGAAAAAGACCTCAAGAAAGCAGCGGAAGGAACGCAAGAACAGAATGAAGAAAGTCAGGGGCACCGCAAAGGCTAACGTTGGTGCTGGCAAAAAGAAATGAAGTGGCAGTGAGCTGGAGATTGGAGAACAGCCGAAGGAGTAGATTCTGCAGTGCGTGTCTGCAGTGACTGCGACTTTGTTCACGAGAGGATTTAATAAACTGTAAAACCTTAAAAAAAAAAAAAAAAAAAAAAAAAAGTAAGGAGAAGCTGGCTATGGTGGCACATGGGAGAAGGTAGGTTTATAAACTGAAGTCCATCCAGTCTCAAAAACAAAATACAATAGAAAAAGGACTTGGGGTATTGGTAAGTCAATGGGAGGCTCAATCTCTAGTACAGCAAAAACAAAACCAAACAAACACAAGTGGGCAGTACCACCTTAAGGACGACTATACTCAAAGGTAACAGGTAGCAACAAAGAGCCAGGGGAAGGGCCTGAGCAGGAATGGTACTCAGGGAGAAGACAACACTGCTACCAGAGGTCCTCCAAAACCTCCAGGGCATTCACTTCAGAGGGCAGGGTTGAACGGGGCTGTGAGGTGAAATGAGGAATTGGCTACTCCCCAGGGCAGAGGGGCAGCAGAAGGGGGAAGCAGATCACAGAAAGGCTCCTCTAAATAAAAAACAAACATAACATATGGGAGAGAAATCTATACGCACAAAAATCAGCAAGGATGGGCAGATTTTGGCTTCATCAGTTAGAGTATGTAGGTGGTAACAAGCAGTCCTGCTAAAATGCCATTCATTCCCCATCTCTTTTTTTTTTGTTTTTGAGACATGATCTCGCTATGTAGTTCAGGCTGATCATGACCTCACTATGTAGCTCAAGTTGGCCTCAAACTTGAAGCAATCCTTCTGTCTCAGCCTCCCAAGTGCTGGGATTACAGGTGCATACACCATGCTTAACCTGCCCTCTTTTGTACATGTTTATATTACATGCAATTAAAAGTCACCTTGGGGAGTGGGTGCACGTACAAAATACAGTTGGCTTTTTTTCCAGTCTCTTTCATCTCCTTCTCTCCCTCCTCTAATTCCACTTTTTTCTAGTTTCATTCTTGTTGATTATTCTTACTCTTAGGACATCACTTCCTTGCCTATATATATGGACCTTCCCTTTGCCAAAATTGTTGCTTGTTATGGAAAATCAATTAGAGCTCCAATGAATCAGGAAAACGAGCTGATCCCCAATTGGCTACAGATTTAAAGTTATACTGTGATGTCCAATCGGCGTTTTGCAAAGGGTATAAGTGGTTTTGTCCATTTACAGAGGAACCACCAATAGCAGCTATGCCCCACTGTCATCCAAGAGGCAATTTCTCAAAAAGAGCATCACAATCACCATGCTCCTGCAGTACACAATCCCACGGAGGATGTAATACTATTTCAAAAGAACTGCTGATTAGAGATAAGACACCTCTAATTAGGAGAAAATGCCTCCCTGCTCCCTGGTATAGGGAGGAAATGCCCATTTTTATTGAATAGTCTTAAAAAAAAAAAAAAGAATAGTCTTCAACCCAAGTTCAAGACACTCTACAAAACAACTGAGCAGCCAAGAGTGGTAGTGCACAACTATAATCCCTGTACTCTGATCTAAGGAGGCATCAGGATCATCAAGGTGGAGCCCAGCCTAGATAATTTAGTGATTTAGTGAGACCCTGTCTCAAAAGATAAGAAAGGGCTAGGGAGTTTAACTTAATGCAAAAGCCTTGCGTTCAACCCCAAACATTAAAAACAACAACAACAACAAAAACAATTACAACAGACCCCCAATAGTTGGTCCTGCAGTGACCAAAAACATCAATGTCATGGAGGACCTATTCCAGAGACGGTGAGTCAATGACTGTCACACGTGGCCCTGGACAGACTCAGCACTTCTGGGAAATCACGCAGTGCAGTGAGAGCACCATCTGCAGGGATGAAGGTGCACTGTAGCCACAGGAGGGCCATGAAAAGCTGCATGCGGTCCTGAGCCCAGCAGCCAGGACACACCCACTGGCAGCCTTCGCTCAGAGGGCATGGGCCCACCATCTGTCCCACAGGCTCAGAAACTGCGTATCACATGTGTGCAGATATGTATGTAGATGGGTCACAGGGAAAGAGTCAAATGAAGGTGGTGCCACTGCATAAAGGATATTTGGGAAATCTGTATTAGTCTTGCAGTATTTTTGTAAGCTTGAAGTCATTTCAAAATAGAAAGTGAAAAACAGATGAAACCCCAGTGCAGTGATGGATTGTATCTGCCACTCTAGAGAGAACCACAGACGACATCACTGCCATCTGCGACCGCGTCCCTGTGTATGATCTCACCCCATTCTGTGCCTACCTCTCGGTGCGTGCTGGCTGGGAGGACAGGAATGGTCTCATCCACGGTGGCCAATAACGTCCGCAGGGCCAAGCCAACTTCCTAACAAGAATTATTGCCAGTATTAGAACACATACTAAGCAGTTTCATGCCAACTTTAACTGCTTCTTCTTTCAAATATTTGTGTAGGTATATCTGTATCTGAATATCTACCTATCTATCCATCCATCCAAATATCTGTATTTTAGGAGGTGGGGGTGGGAAAGATTGAGGATTGAACCTTGGGCATTTTTAATGAGCCCCAGCCCCAGCCCCACTTTTTACGTTTTTGTTTTTTGGGAGACAGGGTCTCACTATGTAGTTCAGGCTGGTCTTGAACTCACCATGTAGTCCAGGCTGTCCTTGAACTTCCATTAACCCTCTTGCTTCAGCCTCCCAAGTGCTGGGATTACAGGTGTGCACCACCATGCCTAGTTCTGACTCTCCTTTTAAGGAAAATTTTCATACTTTTTTCTCCCAGTGCTGACCCTATCTTGTACATTACAAGGCTCTCTTCCCCCACAGAGATTAAGATCTCTGACTCTCCTTAGCTCTGCAATCTATGGAACGGCTCAAGAACAGAAGTCCTTGTGCCTCACTGACAGGCTAGGAAGCAGGTCCTTCCATTTTTCTTCTCATCGAGAGTTTCCAGGCAGACCACAGTGTCCTCTTGGGTCCAGCAAGTCAGTCCTGTTACCCAGATAACAGAATTTTTCCTTACAAGGTACACAGATCTCTCTCTCTCTCTCTCTCTCTCTCTCTCTCTCTCTCTCTCTCTCTCTC